TGATAAGCCAGCTTCTGGTACCCGCCTCATCATTCCTTCCTAGTGGTCCCTTCTGCTGTAGTAATGGAGATGAAACGAAAAGGGAGACGTGTGGGTTGGAGATTAATAAGGTTGGTTATATATAGTATCTGGAGATCCATCGCAATAAAGCCTAATGGAAAGCTATATTTGGATCAACTGTAATTCGATATCGAATGGCAATCGGAAATAATGACTACACAGGGAGTAGTCTTTTCAATTTCACCATAAATCGATGATAATGTTTGCTCAGATGTTTGCCAAACTCCAAAAACAGCCGATTATCGCTTAATAAAAGAACGCTTACAGTAAAACCAATGAGTTTATTGTATAATAAAAATGAGATAACAGTTACTGTAGCTGCCAGTGGAGCGGAAAGATACTAACCCTGGCAGCGGATTACGCTCCCAAGACATGCTACTACTAAGCTTTTTCCCAACTTTCTTGCTGTTGGCACTTCCATCAATTTTGGCTGCCCGGAACGGTTGTAATGGAGAGAAGAAGGGAGATATCTCCTGAATGATGGTCATGATCTCTGCTGGTTCCCGGTTCACTATCCTCAAAGTTCTAGGCTGATTGCTACCGCAGTGCGATTTCAGACATAGGCATCCAGTGAGGAGAGCCTTCAAAATCCCCCGCTCGTGCATCTTAGTCATATTTGGGAAATCAAATCCGTTCCAACGCACGGAGGCGCCACAAATCCATTTGTTGGTGCACCAGTCTTATCATCCTTCTCTTGTTCCCAGATATCTCGGCGTATTTGCTATCCGATGGAGGGCTAGTTGCGTAAGCGTTCCTATAAAATACCGTCCAAATCCTATCTGCTTGATTAAGAGACGACAATGACATTGAAACCTAACAATTAATCTCTATCGCCTCGTTCAGTATTACCGTATACTCAAAAGAAGGGTTTGAAGCGGTCCCTTCTAACTTAATGTAACCACTGCGGAAACCGTCCACATTTGAAGAAAAAGGGGTGGTGTTTTGGCCATTTTTTTATGAAGTAGCTCCGACATGTTTCGAGATTCTCGATTCAATAACTGTCAAGATGCTGTTCAATGAAAATTACACCTTTTTACACTTCCGCGTTCGAATTCCCCTACATTACAGCGTAACCCGATGTTTTATGCTTTCGGGATGTACAGGGCGTAAGGACAAGTAAGGGAGAAGTCTCTTGAGATCATAGTAAATGAAGAGATACTAGAAAGGTCAAACGGGAACAACCTGTCGGTATATAAAGGAATTATGGAGTGACTTGAACGGAGGCCAAGCAGCATGGACTTCGAGCATCGTATCAAAGCCTATCGCTTCGTTGCCTATACGACTGTCGCCTTTTCTGTGGTCGCCGTGCTTTCAGTATGCATCACTCTACCAATTCTTCACAACTACGTCCATCATGTGAAGAGGATCATGCATAACGAACTCAACTCCTGCACGGTATCCTCCAAAGACATTTGGAGTGAAGTGAAGTACCTCAAAGACATGCAAGCAGGAAACAGAACCGCTCGTCAGGTTCTGTATGGTGAAGCCGGCGTTGTGCAGGTACAACCTAGTGCTAAAACCCACGAAGGATACGTAGACGGTGGCAGTCATGGCAGTCAAGGTAGTCACTGTGATTCATGCTGTGTTCCAGGAGCCGCAGGACCTGCTGGAACTCCTGGTCAGCCTGGTCGTCCAGGAAAACCTGGAGCACCTGGACTCCCAGGAAACCCAGGACGACCGCCAGTTCAGCCTTGCAATCCGGTTACTCCTCCTCCATGCAAACCTTGTCCCCAAGGACCTCCCGGACCTCCCGGACCAAAAGGACCTCCTGGGGACGCTGGACGGGACGGACAACCTGGTGCTCCCGGCAATGACGCTCAGCCTGGTCCTTCTGGGCCAAAGGGATCACTTGGACCCAGTGGTAACCCTGGTTCTCCTGGTGCGCCAGGACAGGCCGGCTCTCCCGCTGTTTCTACGCCTCTCGTTCCTGGAGAGCCTGGGCCAGCAGGAAGCCCAGGACCTCAGGGACCACCAGGACCGAGTGGACAGCCGGGTCATCCTGGTATCAACGGTACGTATCAGTCAAGCATTTTCCATTTTTTTACATTTTTTCAATCATGTGATTGTTTTCTGGATGCTGAAGTTTTTCAGGCCAACCAGGACCCAAGGGAGACAGAGGACCAGATGGACAGCCTGGAGCTAACGGAAACCCTGGTACTCCCGGAGAGGCTGGACCAAAAGGAGTTGCTGGAGAACCCGGAATCTGTCCCAAATACTGTGCACTCGACGGCGGAATTTTCTTTGAAGATGGAACTCGGCGGTGAAGAAAGAGATCATGACATACACGTCTTTCAGTTTCCAAATGCAATAAACATTTTTCTCTCACTCTGTTAAGATTGCATCGCAAATTTCTCAGCATAAGACGCAGTGGGCTAATTGGGAGAGACTGGGCACGAAGGCGTTTTTGCTCTATTGTTCCATCGGGGATGGGATAGCTTAAGTTATTCTATTCTGGAGAGGCGATTTGACACTGACTTATTTACTTAAAAATACTTCCTGAAAAAACTAAAACTACACAAAAGTTAAGCTATCTAGATATTCCAAGAGACATGGGTGAGTTACCGAGGAATGGAATCATTCAGAGTGGCATTAATTAGTTTCTAAATTGCTCATGATTACTACGAAGAATTTCGATGAGGGAGCCCCCTTGAGCAGCTCCGTCCTCGAATGATATCCGAACTATGTAGATAAGCGTAATATGGTATGCTGATATTAATACTGTAGCAGCGAAGGTATGGCCTCCAGCAATCTTCCTCTACTTCCTCTTCCGATCGTCTGTTTTTTGGGTCCTTGTGCTTCTTCTTATCCAATTCCCAAGTTTCTTTTTTTGAAACTGGCTGCGGAAACGAAAGTCTCAATTTGCATTCTCCAACCCCATTATCCACAGCCAGCTTTAGCCCAATCGCCTGTTTATTTTGAGATAGAGTCCATGATAGAGCTTGTTCGGGCGAAATTACAGAGGTGCTATGCAGAACACGTG